CATATCAAGCTGCGCCCAGCGGAGCATTTTATTTTGTTTTGGTCTGTTTTTCAATTATCATAAGCAATAGATCAAATAAAGTAAAGCATGCGAGACATTTCAGTGTGTGCACTCTTGTCTTATTTTTTAGTACAAACAGCTTTTGGTATTATCAAAGTGCAATCATGTGAATTTGTATTAACTGTGAAAATGATATCCAATACTTTATCTTTCATAAAAAATTTCCAGTGAAGTTTTGATTTGAAATTTCATAAGCAAAATATTTTTTTTAACAGTCATTCACATTTTTTTTTAGATGTGAATCCTTTTCCTGCTTTTGAAATTTGTCCAATCACCAACATGGTTAAAAAAATATATTGACCCAAACAATGATTCAATGTACAGAATATTTTACCATGTAATGTATAAAAATAATTCCTATACTGTTCCAGTGGTTGGACATAGAATATATGTTATGACAGACAGTAACACTTATGTAAATTAATTTTACAGTAATAATATATAAGATATTAAGTTCAGTACTTTTTTCTTGTTAGAATTGTACAGTAATTAGACATGAACAATTTCTGTTCTCATTGGTTTTTCCTTTGGGTAGCCCCATGTTTTTGGTTGTCTGGTATTCTAACACTTGAAATTTGAGTTAATGTATGATGTGTATAAACAAGAATATGTATTTAACCGCATTTAAAATCAGTTTTATACCTTTAGATATGACTGGCGTATTTCTAGAAATTATATGAGTATGAACATTCAGTCTAGTGTAAACTGATCTTCTTTTAAAAAACCAATACAAACATTTCAGTGTAGTTTGAATAAAAAGAGATGTATTGCAAGGTGACAGAAACACTAAAACACAATAACACCTGAAAAAAAAATTAGAGGGACATGCACACTTCACCTATATACGTATCTCTTTATCATACATGTCAAGATCTAAATTGACCTTAGTCTTGCCAGGTTGGGAATATGTTTAACAGAGATCATTAAAGGTCTACCATCATTACCAGACTCAATAAAATGTATACAAAGACAACCAATAGCCATTTTACAGTTAGGACAAAGTACATTAACTTGAGAACTATTACAGGGATATTAAAATCCCGAGGTAAAATAGGTACTTCTATTTCTTAGTTTGGGCAGGCACATTAATTGGCGAATTAGGACACAGACAATAGTTCCTAATGTGGAACAACCATAACAAATCTCGATATAGGGAAAGGCACATCAGTTCACAAAGTACAACAGATTGTCTGATTATGCCCCCGCCGTAGCGGAGGGGGCATTTAGTTATACCCTTGAAAGTCTGTACATCCTGTAATTGGTTTCCGTTCTCTAACTTTAGTTAGCCTCAACCAAATGTTATGAAACTTATACACAATGCTTAAGACCACAAAACTCAGATTAAGTACAACTTTTGGTAGGGTCACTTTTACCGTTCTTGAGTTATGTCCATTTATAAGGTTATATGCAAGCGGGGGCATCATCTGTGTGCCATGGACACATTCCCCATTTATTCTTTGGGTACAACAGGTACATAATTTTCTATAGTAGGACACACCCATTGATTCCTTGAGTAGGGTAGACACATTAATTCCTTGGGTAGAACAGACACATTGATTCCTTGGGTAGAACAGACATTGATTCCTTGGACAGGACCGACACTGATTCCTTGGTAGGACACACACATTGATTCCTTGAGTCGGACAGACACGCTGATTCCTTGGATAGGACAGATACATAGATTCCTTGGGTAGGACAGACATACTGATTCCTTGAGTAGACCAGACGCACAGATTCAGAACATCAAGTGCAATTTTTCTATCAAGGACAACTCCTTAATAGGAAAGAGTGAAAATCATCAATATCGTCCTCCATCTTGTATCAGTAACAGCTAGCATATTAAAATTTGAAAAGCATTGATAGAACGGTTCATAAGTAATTCGGAAGCGACATAAAGTGCAATTTTCCAATCCATTATATGGTATCATAAATCCTGGATGACAAAAGTGATAATCGCCAATATCGAAATTTATCTCCATTTTGTCATCAGCAACAACATATTAAAATTTGAAATGCACTTGTGAAACGGTTCATAAGTTATTGCATGGAAAGGGCATAAAGTGCCATTTCCCAAAATATCAAGGACCATAACTCCTAAATGGTAAATGTGAAAATCGGCAATATCTAAATTTACCTCTATTTTGTTATAAGTAACAACCTATTAAAATTTGAAAATCATTCGTGGAACAGTTCATAAGTTATTGCACGAAAACGACATAAAGTGCCATTTCCGATCTATCAAGGACCATAACACATGTAACGCTTTAACGGTAAAAGTGAAATTGCCAATATCGAACTGATCTTCATTTTGTCATGAATAACAACATGACATTCCTTGCAGAAACTACATCCTGTATCATTAAATAAAGTGTTCTCGTCATGAAATATTTGCCACTCGACGTGAAACAGGTAACAATCAATCAATCATCTTTACCTTAAACAGTTTTAGTCCAAAGTTTTTTAACAGCTGGAAAAATCGCCTTGCATTTGTGCATGCTTTATGTTATCTTTTACATTTGTAATTCAGCAAATAATTACGCTTAATCCCGTGGCCATACAGGCCATCTAAGACTTCCAGTGAGATGTAAGCTTTTGCTCAGTGTTGAATCCGACTGTGAATTCAAGATGAAGAACAGCCCATAAGTGGTCGTTTGCTTTCTGACTTTCTGTTTTTCAATTGCGTGTAGGGAATTTTTGGTCATGCATGAATAAATACACAATATCCCTCTTTTCCATGGCAACCCAACACAGGACAAGTTCGGAATCTGAGCCGATCCTTCTTGATCTCAAGACGTAGAAGTGTCAACTATTATTTTAACCCTTCCGGAGCACTTGAGTTCAATCTGATTAAACTTCAGATCTATCGTAACTCGCTTACTCGCCGAAGCTTATATGAGAATAACGAAATCGGATATCTATATTTTAATTAGATTGTATCTTACATAGCGAAATCAGAGATCTATATGTTGATTAAATTGAGTAGGGTTCACACAAATAATTTGTTGGGAGTTCGGGTTGTTCGGTATTTATTTTTCTGTGCAGTGTTTGTTGTCTTTTTGTCTTTTTTTAAGCCATGGTGTCTTCTTTTTTTTTATTGTCTCCTTGGATTCCTGTCCCCTTTTTTATTTCTTTTATTGATCCGAATCAAGTATATATTGAATACTAGAGACAAGCATGTTATCAGTAGACCCCCTACAAGGACAATGCAGTTATTGGTGTATGAAGTATACATTTTTTTTGGCTGTTGAAATTAACAAAATATAAAAATGAGAAGATGGGGTATAATTGCCAATGAGACAAATCTCCACCAGAGACCAAATGACATAGAAGTTAACAACTATAGATCACCGTATGGCCTTCAACAATGAGCAAAACCCATACCGCATAGTCGGCTATAAGAGACCCGAAATAACAAAATTAAACAATTCAAACGAGAAAACTAACGTCCTGATCTAAGTAAAAAAAAGGCTGTTTAAAGACTTTAAATGACAAACATATCATGTTTCTATAATTATGCAGCTATCGTCGCTTTACATCCTAGAGTGTAAACGCTATAAGATTATTTCTGTATTTCCGCATATACTAATGATACTGTCAAAGGACAGAAGGAAGCACCAAGATATTAATCAAAAGAATTCGGATCTGTTTTATTCCTATCAATATGCAATTCTATTTAGTAACTAGAAAATGTTAATGTTTCAAGCTAGACATAAAATGGTCTGTATATCCGCATATGCTAATAATACACTGTTGTTAAAGAACTGAAGCATCCGGATATTAAATGAAAAGAACTCTGATCTGTTTTGTTCCTTCAACTTGCAGTAATATCGAAACTTGTTACTTGGAATTGTAAATGTTTTCAAATGGTCTGTATTTCCGCATATGTTAAAAATACTCTGTTAAAGGAATAAAGACCCGGATATCTAAAGAAAAGAACTTGATCATTCTATTTCTTTCAACTTGCAGTAATAGCGAAACCGGCAATTCTATATGGTAATTTGGAATTGTTAATGTTTTCAATGTCACCAAAGCACCACAAGTACTGTTGATTTATTATTTGAATATTCATGTATTGCAGACTTGTGTTTCTCTCATTCCTTACTTTCTCGTGAAGTAATCACAATATTTTATATGTCTAAAAAAATGTCCCCGTCAAAAAATGATTTTTAAATATAAAACATACGGAGATGTGGTTTCACTGCCAATGAGACAACTAGCCAAACGAGTCAAAATGGCGCTGATTTAGGCAACTACTGTGGATTTTGTTTTTTTTTTTTGCGCGCGGGAAACAATTTTCGTGGATTGAGGAAACTTGTTTTTTTATTGGATATTTGATTTAGTGGTTTTGCCAAAGTCTGAATACACTGACTGAGCTTATAGAAACTTTTACCTTCGTTGTGCACTGGGCCTATAATTTTTTTATTTTCGTTGAACATTTAAATTCGTGGTTTTTTATACCTAAGAATTCCACGAAAATTGGTATCTCATAATAAATAATGATTCCACAGTATATGTCGCCGTACGGCCTTCAACAAAGAACAAGATGACAGAATGTGAACAAATTAAAACCAGAAAACCAACGAACTTAATTGTGACCAAAAAAAAAGCGAATATGACAGACAACTAACTTCGTCAATAGCATAATGTCTAAAGGTTTGTTTGTCACGTGTTTTATGTTGTATGTGCCAGGTACATTTTTAATTAGAAAACCTATCGCTCCTGTATACATTAAAAGTTTTATATATTTCATATTAGCGAATTTATAAGCTGACACAAGTCATTTATAAATGTTATTTTGCGCAGTGTTATTACACGAAAGAAATACCGCAGAGACCATTCATTGAAGTCACCCACTATAATTAAATAAATAATTATGCATATATATCTTTTATTCAAATACGGAAGTATAACAATTCAAATAGCATGTGTATAGTGTACTTGAAGTTTGTTTTAACGGTTTGAGACGATTATACAATTGTCAACTTTAAAGAGGACACATTCTTTTAAACAAAAGAAGTTCATCTGTTTTTTAACTTGATATGGCTTTAAAGGTGTGTTTATACCTTGAGAGGGATGAATAGATTAGGAAACCCAATTGGTTATTTGTTATTGAACTTTATTTGCTTTTTCGCGGAAACGTTTATGTAATTGCATCGACGGTAATTTCAGAGTTTGTAATTTTTGGGGACATATTGCATGAATGAATGAAGTAACGGATAATAAATAACTGTCATATTCTAATAAGATGTGTCATCATATTTCTGAATAATAGTGGAAATTTAAACATAATCGGAGAAGATTTAAATGTATTCAGTAAATCTAAGATTACTTTTTCGGTGAAAATTGGATTGGACTTATGTATCAGAACTTGCAATTGAATTACAAATTTTGTATTCTTTATTGAAAGAAGAATAAAATTGTACAAAAGCTGCCATCACTAAAAATATTTGATTACCGATTACACATTGTTCGATTGTGTGTAAACATTGGAATCGAAATAAAACGTAAATCTGTTTTCACAACGGAGGTAAGGTACTGTGTTAAAAACAGATATGGGCGACATGGAAGACACAACAAGGGACCGTTACAGCAGGCGTCTTTCCAGTGTAGAGGACATATTTAAAATTCCCGACATGAGTACAGTTTTTCAGGTAATGAAGGACTTTGGTATAGATCGACGAGGAATAAAAAATAAAAACGACGCTATGAACCGTGTTGTGGAATACTGGAAAGGATTACAAAACTTAACGGAAAACAACAATAAGGTTAGTACTGATGTGTGATGAGATTAATCTGAGGACGTTTATATAAAAAGAAGATGTGGTATGATTGCCAATGAGACAACTCTCCCCAATAGACCAAATGACACAGAATTTAACAACTATAGGTCACCGTACGGCCTTCAACAATGAGCAAAGCTCATACCGCATATAGTCAGCTATAAAAGGCATCAAAATGACAAATGTAAAACAATTCAAACGAGAAAACTAACGGCCTAATTTATGTACAAAATAATGAACGAAAAACAAATGTGAAACACAGCAACAAACGACAACCACTGAGTTACAGGTTCCTGACTTTGGACAGGCACATGCAGAATGAGGCGGGGATAAACTAGTTTGTTGTCCCCTCACCCGGGACAGTGGTGTAACAGCACAACATAAGAACAAACTATAAAAATCAGTTGAAAAAGGCTTAACTCATCAGATGGATACAAATAGAAATACATCCAACAAAAACACAAAGTGGACGTGGACGGGTACCTGTTCATCCCAACAACAAAAAGACACTTAGCATAGATCTGAGAGTACTCGCAGTTACTGACAGCTAGTTCAAAGCCAATAACAACTAATAAAAAAAAATGATGCATCTAAGACTAAATTATCAATCTGTACACATCCAACATCCAATGGATTTAGTGTAAAGACGTCATAAACAGTCAGAGAAAAACATGACCTTGTGCAATGTTTAGTACTTTTTATCAACTAAACGTTTCTTTTGTTCTAGAAGTAGATACATGGCTTTGTTTTAAGCCTTATTATTTGGAAATTTTAATTAATGCCGATAAAAAATACAAGATCTTCTTCGGCTCTTCTAATTTACTGTTGCAGGGTAATTATTTCTTCTACGCACCTTGTCGTATTCCGCTTGTATAGTCAAAGAGATTCGCATTCTTTTTTCTTTTCTTTTTTTACATATATGGAAGTCGGCCATTAGCTTGATCTTGTACAGTAGAACTTATTCCGTATACTTGATATTTTATCAAATGAGCAATCAACTAAAAATGTAAAGACTATTTTTTTCTTACAAATATAGATCCAGTATGATTTAACAGATATTTTGCAAGCTGACGAAGAAAATCGACGAGTTTTAACAGAAAAATGCGAAGACGTTAACAATTTTCTCCTGAAATTACCGAAGAATCATGAAGCTGATTTAGAAAACTTCATTCCTGGGATTTACCACAGACTTAAAACCATGAAAAGCAAGTTAAGGTCAACTGAATGTCCGATACTTGTTACAGGTATGGTCAACATTATAATGTAATCTGTCTTAATGTCGTCCTGAATATGCTTGTAATATTTGATACTGGACCATGTGGACGCCCAGCAAAGAATAGCGTTACATCAATTTATTTTATCGTAAACACATCGTTTATTTTCCCTACAGTTCCTCTTTGAAGGATTAATATTCATGAAAGTACTATAAAAAGAGTGTATAGTTACACAAAAAAGATTCTGTTTTCAGGATCCCGTAATGTATAATTCTTATATTACAATATTATGTAATACGTTTATTACATAATTCACTCAAAAAAAAAGACCTTCACGTTAAATCTTCTGGTTTAAAAGTATTAAATTTTGATTTATCTCTGCAATGTTGACAAGTTCATGCAAAAAAAAACATTTTACGAACTGCGTGCGTTGGAATTCTGAATATGACAGTATGACTTATTAGTAATATAATTGTCTGTAAACACATGCAGAATAAGATTGTTTTTCTGATTTTTACCCAGGTGCCTGATCATGATAATTTACTGTACAGTTTTAATATATTTTGATCATTTTTCTACCCCTGACTGACTTTTATTTTTATTGTGTGGTTTGATACAGGTATAAACGTTATATAATTTTAAATAAATTTTCTATATGTTTATATTGTCTGATCCAGATATAGATATAGACGTGATATAACTTAAATTTTCTATAGGTATCATCTAAAAAATTATATATATATATATGTATATAAGAGAGAGGGTGTTGATTTATTCTTAAGAATTACATTTTAAAAAATTCATTATTAAAAAGTGTGGACGCTTACTTTTCTCCAAACTGTATCTTCATATTTTCCAGGAGAAACAAATTCGGGCAAAAGTAGTTTCATCAACCTCATTCTGGGCCATGACCTGTTACCAGTTGGTTGTCTTCCTACAACAAGAACTGTATGTGAAATAAAGGGATCCAAGTCCAATGAAAGAGTTGCAATAATTCATCGCAAAATTGTTAAAAATGAGCGCCGACATGCACCGAAAATACTCGACCTTTCAGAATCGGTTAATTTTGAAAAGTTTCAAAATCTTGTAACCGAATTTGATACACAGACCGGGGAATCTGTTTATGACAAAATTGAAATATTTTGGCCAAGCCAACTGAAAGAGGTACAAGTATTAAAACCAACGTTTTTATTTAAATTTAAGATAAAAAAAAAACAAATAAAACATATCCAACAAGAATAACAAACACATGATAAACTAAGAAGCAAACCGAATGTTTCATAAATGCTTGTATAGGATATATATATATATATATATATTAAAGAATTGATATAATGGACCAATCAACAACGCTAAAACTAAATTGTAAAATTATATGTTACAATGCAGTGATATTAAAGGAAAAGTCTAACTTGACCAAAAACGTTTTGAACACTCTGATTTATATGAATAAAAGGTGTCAGACCGCCAATTCAAAATCCCTTTCTATTCAACCAAATTTTGCAAATTCCACAGCTTTCTAAATACCTTACCTTAAGTTTAACATCAAAGAAACCAGGTATATCCTGAATTGTATCATCTTTCTACATGCCAATTTTCAACCTATGTTTAAAGTCTTGTATGGATATACTAACGTACTAACAAGTACTGCTAAAAATAGTCCCTGGGTTTCTTGAAATCTTAAATAAGTATACTATGGAGCGCATTAATCCTCAATTTTTAATGCAAGCTCATAGACAAGTAAATGTTGGCTCAAAATGGTCAAAATATAGTTCTCTTTCACCAAAAGTTTCATTTCTGTAAATTTGTTTGTTAGTTTAAGTAAACAATGACATCAAAAGCACTATTTTTTTTGTCAGAGTAGGGCTACTTTTACATACGTTCTAAATTCGAGTGAGTGAATTGGTGGTCTGACACCTAAAGGCATACGGCTACGAGAAAGTAATTAAAACAACATCCAATACCATAAAATCATCAATTTAGAGAACCGCATGCGCTCTTCAACTATGAACAACCACCAAAATCATATGAAAAGTTTAATTGCTCTTTGTTAATTACAGATTGAGAATGCATGAATAATTCGACCACAACACCAAATTTTAAATTTACACCGCATTTGAAAATATCATTGAAAGTTGTTTTTTTTTTATAAAAAAAAATTAAATCGACACGTCTGGTTACAAGATTCCTTCACGATAAAAAAACGGTATTCTTAACTTGATTGGTTGCTCCGTCGTTCGATGTAGCTCATAAACATTAAAATGATTAATAACAAGATATGATTACATTTGCAGGCCGGTTTAAAACTGATTGACACACCTGGTGTAGGTGAAAATAGAAATGTTGTACCATTGATTGAAAATTGTGCTTCTAAAGTGTCTGGATTTATATACATCATTAATAGTTCATCAGCTGGAGGCTTACAGAAAAGGGTACGTAAAACTGAATAAACAACGAGTAACCAGATTTAAGAGTTTCTGGATCAAATACCAGAAAAAGAACTTTTGTTTAGTTTTTACTCCTTCGTGTGTTTCATTGAAATATTAGGCGAAGAAATAGGGGTCTATTCTAACCATTAAAAAATTTGAATGGGGTTACTACTTATATATATAGATCATTTAAATCAACTAACTCGAATAGTGGGACTGTCTTGTACATTTTTGTTTGCCTATTCCTCTGATTGCAGAATATATCAATTTGGGAAGGGGAAATCTCTTCATAAAATATATTTGAAATCGACAGAATTTGCGAGAGGCGTAAGTATTTGTAATTGTCTGACCATTGGACGAAATAACAGTATCCTTTCTTTTCTACATTATTTGTCATGTGTATTTGACTGTTTTGTTAAGGTTAAGGTTTCGATGCGCTCGAAAAATGTATTTAGTGGTATAGCCGGGCATAAACGGATAAGAATGCTCTCATATAACTAATGTATTTAGTGGTGTTACTGGGCATGCTATCATATGATTATAATGAATTTAGTGATATGGCTGGGCTGAAGTAGATAGATATGCTCTCATGTAATAAATATATTTAGGGGTGTAGCCGGTCATAAATGTTTAGAGATGCTCTCATACGATCAGTGTATTAAGTGTAGCCGGGCATAAATGGATAGGGATACACGCATATAAAAGTTATAAACTAATATATTTCTTACATGGTTTGCCGGGCATAACTGAATAGGGATGCTCTCTTATAAACTAATGTATTTAGTGATGTAGCCGGGCATACAGGGATAGGAATGCTCTCATATAGAACTAGTGTAGTTTGTGGTGTAGCCGGGTATAAATGGATGCTATCGTTCAGGAAAAGATTCGGCCAATTGTTTTCAACTTACATGTTAAGATGCTGTGGATGCTACAGTTAGTAAGATTACTAAAGTTACACAGTTGTTTTTTTTGTGTCTTATAATGTTTTGATCTAGAGTATCGAAAGAGAGTCATTTCAGATACATGTATCGCGCGTAATAATTTAGTTCCTCACTTACAGATATTCTGACTAATTAATGCAATAGTTTTTCGGGTATTAATAAAAGGAGATGTATGGTTTACACAACACAAGGTTTGTATGAGGGTCTTGATGGGAGTTTACAGAATAGAGAATAATGGGCGAAAATATAAAGAATTATAGAGAATAATGGTCAAAACACAATAATGGGCAAAACATTAAAGAATACAGAAATGAAGGACCTTCATCAACACCATCTTATATTGAACCAAATATTTGACCATTTAATAAACTTGCAGGTTCGCCAGTTTTTACGTTCGACGTCGTCTATTTGTGACCAAGAATTTTCAACAGATGCTGCTATGTTTGTATTCAACAAATGGGACACTGTACCGGAGGTTGATCGATCTGATCTAACCAAGACAACCTTGTCACAATTGAAGAAGCTGTTTCCAGGGATACAGAAGGACCAGCTCTTTTACATTTCGGCAACAGAAGTATGTTTTGGAAATCAAATTTGCCTTTTACGAAGATAATTTTTTTTCAAAGTTTCTAAAAATGTAAACGATCTACACCTTCACCATAATTATTAATTCGGTTATATTTATAAGGGTCTGGATGGGGTTTACAAAATAGAGAACAAATGACAAAAAAAAAGAATAAAGAAAAATAAGCAAAAAATAAATAAAAAAGAGAATATTTAGAAATATAAAGAATACAAAAATGAAGGAACCCATCTTAAGGATGTATTCTTCTGACGTTTCAGGCTCGTTGAAATCTCGTTCTGGAATTATTTCCAAAACATGTGATACAAGTGGAATATATCAATGAATTTAAAAAAATATTATAATCAAACTTAACTGTGTGAAAAAATTGTGTATTTACAATGAATAGTGTTTGAGTAATAAAATTTTCAAATTTTATAACAAATCAAGTCAGTCTCATTAGCCAAAATGTTAAGAAAATGGGTGAGGGGTACAAAATATCATTTTACCAGATACATGTACATCCCATATCAATTTTTTCTTTTCAAATTTCTTAGATATTTATTTTTTCAATCATTTATAACAAAGAAGTTGAAATAATATGCTTTTTGTTCTAAAAAAAGGGAAAAATCCAAACTTTACAAAATTGACAACATGGTAAATTTGACACGAAAAAGCAACAAAATTTTATAAAACTTTCTTATATTAACACCTACCTATAGTTTTTTAAGTTAAATTTATTCAGATTGGTCCACTTCATCTTAAGTGAAAGTATGAAAAAAAGGTTAATTGTGAAACTGTAATTTTTTTCATGAAAATAGCCCAAAAATGGGTAAAAATTTATTAAAAATGGGAAAATCATCAAAATTTGGTACTTTCAAATGGCTGTAGCAAAAAATGATGTGCACCACCATATGATTTTTTCTTCACTAATTATTTTTTTACAGTCATATAAACCCAAAAATCAGGTTAAGAAAAAAAGTTTAATTCTAGAAATTTTTGGGTCCTCAGAGGTGTACATCCTTAACCCTCGATCTATTTGCAGTGTGTCGCGGATAATACAGACAATATCTATTTGTTTTTAATTGTTCTAATATGCAGCTTAAGAAAGGTAGTTTACATATTATTTTTCATAATAAAAAAAAACTAATGATAGTTTGTCTTTCTTTTACATCAATCCGAAAATTATTATTATAACTATAATGAATACAGATATATGGTAATAGGAAACCGTAAGAAAAGTAGCCGTGAAACGCTACAGGTTAAAATTTGATAAAAGTGAAAAAAGTTTCAACTTACATAATCTGAATAATGTTATTTTCCTTTTCCAAATTTAGTCGTTAAAGGTATCAAGACATGGCGATGAACCAGAAGACTTTACAGCTATCAACAACGGACTTGTAAAAATCATTCCAGCGTGTTTGAAAAATGGCTTTAATTTACATTATTGGTAAGAATCGAGTACTGCAAAAGTTTACTTTTAGATAAGTTTGTCACTTCCATTGCATAAAATGAACTTTGGCCTTACCTCAAAATCGAACTCAGCATCACCTCAAAATCGAACTCAACAATAGTGTGTTTTTCAAAAGAAACTAAGATATCTGGACCTAGGTCAACTGTTAGCAAGACAACGGGTTCAACTATTGGAGCAGGATCTGTTCACACTTCCGGATCACCCCCGGTTTTCGTTGGGATCGTGTTGCTCAGTCTTTAGTGTAGTGTTTTGAAAAACAGTTGTTTGTCTTTTCTTTGTTTTCTCAACAATGAATGGTGTTTTCTCTGTGTTTTGACTTTGAGCATACTAGTACCTAACTGTAGAATATTGATTAACATATTCTGATATATAAAAGTTCATACTATAGTATTGTGAGTTTGTTTATGTATACACTACAGTCAGCGTCGAGTCGGCATTTTCCACATTCCCACTGTTGGCATGGGAATAGAGTTTGGATGTTCTTTAGGTAAAATACATTTTTTTTCCTTCAAAATGCGTTCTTTAATAAATTCATTGTTTAATAGACATTTAGCTTCACACTAAAGTAGTGTCCTATTGTTAAGGTAAATTTATGGTAATATGTGTGGGCTGTGTAATTGTTCCCACTGTGGAGAGAGGCCATGGCAATACCCATAATGACTATAGTGTATGTGAAATGATCTCTGTAACTTGAATTCTAGATTTTATATTACATTGTCTTCCGTCCCATCAAGTTCTATATAAATTTCACATTTTCTATTAAATTCATTAATCAAGAAAAATCTTTGTTGCTCTCAGTGTATTATGTGTTGCTGTGATTCAAAATTGCCGTTTAATTAGGGTTCCAATGACGTAGATACCATACTACACGTTGCCCCAAAAAATGGCTGCCATATTTCATACCTTTTATCTGCATAAAAGGTCCGAATACATTTAGGACCGAACTTTGATACGTATTTCTTTAACCCGAAATATCAATAGCAAAACTTGCACTCAGATTGCTTCCCACCCCAACCCGAAACTTTGTGAATTTAGCTTTATATCCTACATCGATCTTGTGATGGTGTCCCCAAGTGATACAAATACAGCCCATATTGGCAAGACCTCTATTGTGACGGATATACTTATACAAATGCATCTGTGGACAATCCTAGTTTAACGTTCTAAAGAATATTTTTAATTTTGCTATGGAATGTCCTTCCTATTCAAGTTTTACATAAACACTCAAAATTATCAGAATCAGTAAAAATACAGTTTTGATAAGCATATTTAATTAAGATCGAATGCTCAGAATGATATTATATCAGAAACTCAAAGTACACTCATGAAGCTTTAATGCGGTATTTAATAAATTTAAGGGGTTTTTGAAAATACCTGGTTATTCATAAAATGATATGAGAAAACATGCCTTACGCACGTTAATTCTTTACGCCCGGTTTTGAACAAAATGTTGAAAAGTTAATAGAATTGAACTAACTTGAGTATTTTATGTAATGCATCTTCTTAACTATAACATTTATTGCCAACAATCTGTTGCCTTAAAGTTTGAGTTGGAGGGGTAACTGGTTGATTTGTTCATATTTGACTAACAAAATTAAAATATGTAGTATAAGCAAATCTGATAAGAGGTCCTTACTAAATCGTTGTGATGAATTATACATGTTGAATTTGTTCAGAAAACAATGTTTCCTAAAGTAGCTGTCAGTATAGCAAGTTGAATTTGATTGATGTTCGAATGAATTTGTTCATGTTTACCTCCAGCATGGCGTTTTTTTTTTTTTTTTGAAAAAACAAACACTCAAATTACGTCAATCGAAAACTATCTATTTTCAACGGACAATTGAATACCGTCAAATATTATTAAATAAGACATTATCATTCTATCTTTCAGTTTTTTATCACAAGTGATCAAAAGAGTTCTATATTCATTAAATCTTGCTAGACACATGGATTCAAAAGGTCTGGACGAAAAACGGAAAATGCAAGAAAGTTTAAAGAACGGAATTCAGCTTCTAGAAACTAACACTCACAGAGCTATCACAAATCTACGTCTCCAGCTAAAAAACGAGGCAAAGCTCTTAAATATTCGAGTTCAAGGGTTTTTAAGATCTTCCTGGGTAGATGGGGGAATTGAAGAATGGAACAAAGAGGAATGCCCGGATGTTCTTGGAAATTGGCGAAAGGTTGCAGAGGAGGCCTCAGACCAGATCATACAGAAATTCAAATCACAGATTGATTTTTGGGAACGATCAGAAGGCATAGTGAAAAGTGTTAAAGAAAAGATTAGTGAACAACTTCGACAAGATTTTGAGTTAATGGAAGACAGGATTAAAGAACTGGAAGGTAGGTGAAAAAGGGAAAAAAATATGTATGAGTGTCTTTCCAAAATCGAGTTCCCGGAGAGAACCAGCGACCTTCGGCAGGAAAACGCGCATGTAACGTGTAGAGAACTCACAATCTCAGTGTTGACAGGCTAGTGAGGCAGTTACTGTAGTTAAACTACTCAGACCACTCGGCCACCGAGGACCCTCAATGTAGAGGCAATACGATGACTCAATAGTACGTTGTTTGCATCTACGTCCATTGGTCTCGTGTGGATAGTTGTCTCATTGGCAATCATATCACATCTCCTTACTTTTATTTTGATAAGACATATTCAGAAAGCAAAAACTATGCTTTTGAGAGTACATGTAAACGCATATAAATAGATGGAACAGCCAAAGCAGTCTAATGACTCTAAAACAATCTCGTCCGCAATTAACATGAAATATTTGCCACTGGACGTTCAACAAGCCGCAATCAAGAAATCTAAAATCCACCGATAAAAAATACACAATTTACACGTTGCTTCGTTCTCTTGGAGGGAACTTTCTCTTTTCTCTTTTTGTATCTATTTTTTTTTTTATTTCAAATTCATAGCTCTATTATTAATTATAATTGAAATCAATCAAAGAAAAAATATATTCCTATTTATAAAGATACATGTTTGGTTTCAGGAGTAATGCTGGGAGGAGATATAAAAACTGTGAATAACTTTCATACCTCAGTAAAAGCACCTACGAAATCGATTCAACAGTTATTTTCTAGCGCTTCTAGACGTAAAGTTATAAATAGAAAAAGTCTTGGAACTGTCGTTTGTCTTGATCAAACATTAGATCTTACCTCAAAATCGGTCAAAAGTTTATTCAAATCTTATAAAAAGGACAATTGCCAACAAAAAATGAAAGAGGCATCAAAATTGTTCGTTGAATCGTTGCGGGAAAGTGGGAAATTGGAACAAAACGTAAACTTATATTTACAAAGATTCGATTCTAGTATAACAGTATTGGAAGAAAAGATACCACACATATTACAGACAGATAGACAACTATTTGAAAATTTGAATACTGATCTTTCAAGATCAAAGAAAAATTTAGAGGAATTGTATCCACAAATAATTGTCGAATGTCTGAAATTGCAAGGCGAACTTGACATGTTTTACGTTCAAAACCTACGGAAAGAAAATCCAAGATTTCAAGATGTCACATGGAATGGGAACGATCTCATTGGCTGTGGAAGTTTTGCCGATGTGTATATGTCCCGTTTAAAAGACGATGAAGATAATTTCCAGGACGTTGCAGTAAAAATGTACAGAACACCTCTAAAAGCAAATAACGTATCTGATATACTATTGGAAGAAAGAACGTTAAGGTAAGAATACTGTTTAGCGAGAGTAGCTTCCTTTATGATGTATACAGAGGAGCTTATTTTTTTGGAGGAAGTTTTATTCAGAATTTACAATCACCTAGTTTCTTTCATTTTCGTCATCAGATGTGTGCAGATAAATCGTTGGGTGTTCCTATACTTTAATATACTATAAACCAACTTATTTTCGCGGATACTTTATTTCGCGTTTAGTCCTTTCTATCCCGGCGATTTAATTTCGCGATTTTCAAATTTACTTGATGTAATTAGACAAAGAAAGATCCATTTTTTAAATTTCGCGACGATTTATATTCGCGTTATTTTTCCTCTCGCGAAAGTCGCGAAAGCAAAACGCTCGCGAAAATTAGTTGGTTTACAGTAACTCGAATGCGGGTAGAAATCTTGATCAGCAAACGTTGCGCTTTTTTGACAATATCTGACATCTCTAATTACGATAGCATAACCATGTGTTTGCTACACTCCTGTCAGGGTTACGATTCTGTGTCATAACTCATTTGGATCAACCCATGTGTGATTCACTATAACTCATTTGGATCGGCCATGTGTGATTCACTATAACTCATTTGGATCAGCCCATGGGTGATTCACTATAACTCATTTGGATCAGCCCATGGGTGATTCACTATAACTCATTTGGATCAGCCCATGGGTGATTCACTATCACAATTACTCCCAGGCATGGCAAACTTGTAAAATGAAAAGTAAATTTCTTAGAGCGTGAATGTGAAAGATATTTATCATTAATATTCACTCTATTAATATCTATGCATGAAAAAAACGTTATTCTTTTATAACGAATGCAAGCACTAGGGCTGAATGATGGGCGAGTAGCGGACACATGAAACATCATATCTACTGAAACTCGTCTTGATTCAAATAAACCTAGAACAGAGACAAAAGGTATACATGTATTGCTGATTAGAAATGGAAAATTCGCGTCTATAAAATTTAGCTTGATTTTTTTCTCGTCAATCTTCGGTTAAAGCTGTCTGATTTTGAAATTTTACAATTTAAATTGAATATTTTGACATCTTGTTTTTCGGATGTTCTCAGGTGAAATCAGCATGACACATAAAAGCGGAGTAAACGTAAAGAAATGACTTCTATTTGTTCAAACAGCAATGAATATTTTTTTTTGGTCTCAGGAACTATTCGTTAATCGGTCAGTACGGCTGATTCTATTTCAGAGATCTTTCGCATATAAATATAGTGCAATACCACGGCTCTACCATACAGCACCACAAGCGGAGTGATAAGACGGTTATAGTGTTGGCACTTATTATGGAATATTGTTCTGATACATTGTTAGACAAAGTGATAAATACTGAATTTAAAAACGCCGGGAAATGTCATTCAAATGATCCAGAGTACCACACGTCCATGGAAATATCGTTAAAATATGCTGTACAGATATGCGAAGGCCTGAGTTACCTTCATTTAAAAAGTCTAGTTCATCGGGATCTGAAACTTGCCAACATATTGGTATGTATATGTTATTTATAAATTCACAAATGGTGTTTTATTATGGGAACGTCATTGTTTTTAATGTTCCTGATTAGACAAAGCCCAAGAATGCTGAGATTGGTAAACGCAACATCTGAGGTTTGAAATTTTATTTCTTATATGACCTATTTTATATGGTTTATTGGGTTGGACGTAGGGTAAACTTAAATGAGACCGTCTTTGAGAAGCAGTTACTAATTTCAAAAACTTGTATCTGATCCATTAGTCCTTTTAAACAATAAAATATGTTTAAACTAAAAATTAGACGACAACACGAAAAGCACACTGAAACAAGAATAACCTCTAGGGGTCCATCCACAATCCTCATTGATATTTGGTTCCATGCAATACACGTTATATGTCAACTTACCGTCAAATTTAAGACATGGCAAATACGTTTTAAACCTATACGAAAATGAATATGCATTCAACAAAGCAAATATCAATACAAAAATTTGAAAAAATGTCCGCGAAAATAAGGTTTGATCGGTCTCAGAAAGTCTTCGATTATATCTGTCTTGTCTTGCATAGTAAGGTTTAGAAATATACCGTTGATTTGGAAAAGAATTAATTAACTGAATAGCTATCTAAAATGCTATGATTATTTGAGTGGAACTATAATGCTTTCTTTTGCAGGTAACGAAGGAAAATATTGTGAAATTGTCGGACGTTGGTCTTACAAAAGCGGAAATAGACATTACTGCTTCTGCTGTTGGTTCTCCAATTTATATGGCACCGGAAGTTCTGAAACAGGATGTATGCTATGACCGGAAGGCAGACATATATAGTTTTGGAATCTTATTGTGGGAAATTTGGTATGGTTACGAAGCGTCCGATTATATGAAAACTTTATTTCGTTCTTCAGTAGAAGTGTCTGTCGCGGAAGAAGGACTTCGCCCACCATTAACAATTCATTGTCCGCCACCAGACGACATGAAGAGCGTGATGGTAAGATGCTGGCACAATAACCCGGAAGTCAGACCAGATGCTAGATGTTTAGTTTCCTTCTTTGAATCTGTTCTTGAACAGAAGGACGAATTAGAATTAAATTCATTGTGAGACTTTTTGTTACGTCGGCATGCGTGATGTGTATTAAAATACAGTCATGAATCAACAGAACAAACACCAGCATGTAGAAGACAAGCAACAAGAACATAATGTTTAGAATCTTACTCTCTAATCGATGCACAGATAAAAGCGTTTCCAAATCTATGTAATATATATGTCTAATTCACTTTAAAGTGTGGCATCAAACATATTTTGGTGCATTCTTAATATTTTTGTTGTTGTAGTTTTTCATTGAAAATCGTTCTTATTGTTCAACATGTACACCGACGGTTAAACATTCCTGATGTATTCCTTGGCTATTTTGCTACATAAATATAGTTTTAGTAGGAAACGAACCTTTAGACATAAACATTAGCTGCAAGAAATAGTGTTATGAAAAATAATTGGGTGCATTTAATTTTAGGATAAATATTAATTTAAAAAAACTAAATTGAACTTATGTGGAAGATTGTATTAAAAAGATGATTTATATTGTTCGTATCTTTCTACACAATAAAGCTCTACCTCTAGATATTGAAAATAGAATTTTTTAATAAACATGTACCAGAACTCTAAATGTTAATAAAAAAAAGATGAAACACACTTTTGTCTTGACTAAACTGATACATTTAGCTGCTCAAGTAAGTGAGAAGTCCATGTCACTGAATATGAATAGTTCATAACACATCTTTTTACTGTATATTCTATTTCTGTTTAATTTGTTATTGTGTTTGTTTGTTAAAGGGGCATAAGCTGTCAAATTCATGTTCACCGATTTGACTCAAATTCTCATATTTGATTTATAACCTACTAAAACGTATATCCAAATTACAAAAAGTCTAAAATGAACCATTAACAATGCATTAACTCCATAATATGTATCAGCATTTCGTGGGTATTTTAGTCTAGACGCCATCTAATTAACCATCGAGGTGACCTCCGAAGACTGCCGACAGTCATATAATCCGATATAAATGTAAATATAGATATAGATAGATAGCAAACACGTGCAATTGGATTTTTCTAGGTCTGTTTGATTTCATATTATAGGTTAAACAAATATGTTAACATCGCTTTTACCTGTATAAGAATGAGTTTTTGTGGATCGAATCAGTCAACCAAATGGTTTACACTTGTTTCACTTTCAATGTTGACATTCTTTTCCTTTTAATAACTGAACACGCCTAGTTCATGCGTAACCCATCTCTAGTTAAGGGGTTAAATAGAAGGTCACATAAATACATTAAAGATGTAAAGCAGTTTCGGTAGTATCCTCAATGTAAAATGGTAAGAATTTTCATGACCTACGACCAGGAAGTCCCACTTTTATTAAAAAATACATAAATATGCAAGTGAATAATTCATCATCGATGTTTCTTAGCTTATTTTGACCAAATTGAGCCAAACTAGCTGCTAAAAGCACTTTTTCACTTAAAATAATGATTGAACAAAAAAAAAAATCCATATTTTAATTTGTTTATTTCTCGTAGCTAGTGCCCCTTTAAAGTTGTATATGTTATTACTCTTTTGAGTTTCATAAAAAAAAAATATTCAGAATAACTTACATTCACCAGAAAGCTGACTGACACGAAATTGGATTATTTAAATACAGTTTTTGCAAATAAGACTGTTTTTATGTCATAGCCACATTATAAAAACAGAAGACGTGGTATGATTGCCACTGAGAAAACTAATCACAAAAGGCAAATTTGCAAGGACAACCGCGAAAACAACTGCGAAATCACTACACGGCATTCAACAATGAAAAAAATGACCGAGGATAGCAAAATGTGAACACAATTCAAGAGAAAAAAATAATAGCTAAATATAAACTTATGCCATGAAACGGAAGGAATTAAGACAGACCGCAGTCAATGACATCTACTCGTGTACTGCAGATTACCGGGTAGGGTCATGTAGAAATAGCATGTGGTGAGGTTGAACATGCTTCTAATCGTACGGACCTCCCCTAAATGGAAACATTTGTGTAACAGCAAAGCATCAGAAAAACTATAGTAAATATCAGTTGAAAAGGGCTTGACTAATGCGATAGGTATTAAGCGGGAAAAAGACAACGAAAGAACTAAAATGTAAAAGACGCAAAGTATTCAAAAATTTCTGAAAGACAAATTTTGATTAATGAGTAGACCATGTTTTCCTACGCCATCGACATATAAAGTGTCAAGACACAATCTAAAACAGAAAAGTATAACGTTGCGAAATTCCAAGATATAAGTATAAGGACAATAAATCATATTTACTGGATAGCAACGAATTTAATGTTTAGTATATCAAAAATGTATTGAAAATAAAATCAATGTTGGCTTTTCTTTGTCGGTTTTCTATTTGGTCGTGGTGTTGTCTCTTTAAATTCGACTTATGATTTTTGATTACACCCTTGGTATCTCCTCCCTCTTACCTACCGATAAGACAATATTCAAATATCTTCTTACAAATATGTTAATTAATAACCTTGAAATATATTTTTTTTTTCAATAGAAAAAAAGATTTACAGGGATCGTATTTAAATTTTCAAGCTTTATAAACAACATCACCGCAAACATTTCGATATGGTATCCTGTTTTTTGATAAGTTTTCTACTAAACTTCCAAACACAATTGTAAAGGTTTTCCCCATTCCCATCAACTGAAAAAAGAACTTCAAGCTAATGATGGATGAAACAGAGGACAACGTCAGAAAGCGCGAGCCAGATGAACCAAAAACTGGACACTTTTTCTGAATGTATCAAAGCTGTTCGGTCACGCGTTCAGAAACGCATTCAAAATATACGACGTACAATAAGCACATGGGTTTCTAATCCTTTCAAGAAATCCGAGGTTGTAGATGGTTTATCCTCTCTCTACGACAAATATGCTGTTTCTATATCCTCTAAAAATATCGTTTTACATACAAAAATTCATTATTTGGAATGTCTAACTAAAGAACTCAATAATCACAGCTAAACTAGGAATCCCACATGCACACCTACATAATTCACGAAAGAGATTTAAGAAAATAACAAATCCGTCCTTTTTTTCCTATGTTATAAACATAATAAACTTTTTTAAAATACACGATATATATTGCCGGGTCGTGTAGATGTTTGACTGAGCATCTGTCTACAATTCTTACTACGATCCTCTCTACAGTTAGAAATATTGCGAGGATGTATATTCAAACAACCAGATGTCAACCAGATGTGGAGTCTTAAAAGTTTTAAAGATCTACTGCAAAATCTGTTAAAACATGTAGAGCTTTTTCGATAAAAGTGGGACTTCCTGGTCGTAGGTCATGAAAAATCTTACCATTTTACATTGAGGATACTGCCGAAACTGCTTTACATCTTTAACTTTTCAATATTTACACAGATGGATGACTGCTAACTAGAACCTGTGACAAACGTGATGAATTCAAGTTTCCAATTGTCAATTTCTCATTTCCCCAGGAATATTATCATACCTTCTGTCCCATCGTATGATGTTTACATATCTCAATTGCTACGCCATGCTCCTGCACGTTCACAATAAACGGACTTAATTTACAAGGTATGATCCTTTCACAAAAACTGATTCAACAAAGTAGTAATACATGTAGTCAATTTCCGAAGCAAGGTAACCGTTGTCGATTCTCGGAATTTCCCGAAGTCCTGCGTTATGCTATGTTTAGGTTTCAGCGTTACTGATGAAGGTAAATCCAAAAAATCCGGAAACAAGAAATGAATAAGTGTTATTTCATTTACTAGTTCTGGGTCGATATTACTGGTGATGGACTGTAAGTCGTCGAGGGTATCATCAGTTGAGTAATTAGTCCCTTGGAACTGACATAATATTTTACAATCTTTTCTAAAATTCACCGTCCATTGCCGAGTTTATGAGCTTCGGTCCTTGCTTGGAGGTTAACAAGTAGTATGAACGAAAAATTTCGTTCATTACGTTAGTCCACAGTTCAAAACACATTTGACGTCAATGAGTGATCAAGGGCAAGTAGTTAAATAAAAAAGGGGTCAAGGGCAAGTAGTTTAAATAAAAAAGGGTCAAGGGCAAGTAGTTTAAATAAAAAAGGGGACAAGGGCAAGTAGTTTAAATAAAATTTAAGGCTCTAAAGAGCCTGTGTCGCTCACCTTGGTCTATGTGCATATCAAACAAAGACACTCGTCAACATTGTAGAGGAGAATAGACTTCATGACAAAAATCTCTATTTTGTTGATCTTGTATTACTGATCTTTTAGTCTGTTTAGTTTCTCTATCTTCTTTAGTTTTTTGCTCAAAACACAAAAGAGGGTAAAAAAATCCTCATTTAAGGGCAATCACTCCTATGAAGAGTGACCGTCTACTAACTGTATCGGCAAAATTTGACTTTTTGATAGGTCTTGCCTTGCTGATAATTTATGTGATTTAAAGTGTTTATTTATCTATTACAATTTAAATCATATAAGGCATAACGGGAAAAAAAATTTTCTCTCTAAATATCATAGTTTTCATGGTAATAGGTAAAAATGGGAAAAAAAATGGTAAAATTTGTCATTTATGGGCAATAACTCCTATAAGAATTTTAAGAACAGTTTTGACATATATAAATTGGTAGAGCTCATTATTCTGAACATTTTTGTCCCTTTCAGATTTTCTCTATTTATAATGGTTCAAAAAATAATAGACAAAACTTGCATTTTACCCCTATGTTCTATTTTTAGCCATGTCAGCCATGTTGGTTGGTAGGCTAAATACTCCAATATTGATTGTGGCCAAGTTTGGTTAAATTTGTCTCAGTAGTTTCAGAGGACAAGATTTTTGTAAAAGATAACAAAAATTTACAAAAAATGTTAAAAATTTACTGTAAAGAGCAATAACTTCTTAAGGGGTCAATTGACCATTTTGGTCATTTGACTTATTTGTAGATCCTACTTTGATGAACATTATTGCTGTTTACAGTTTATCTCTATCTATAATAATAATCAAGATAATAACCAAAAACTGCAAAATTTCCTTAAAATTACCAATTTAGGAGCAGCAACCCAACTAACGGGTTGTCTGATTTGTCTGAAAATTTCAGGGCAGATAGATCTTAACCTGATGAACATTTTTATCTCAGTCAGATTTGCTCTAAATGCTTTAGTTTAAGAGATATAAGCCAAAATCTGCATTTTACTCCTATGTTCTATTTTTAGCCATGTCGGCCATGTTGGTTGGCAGGCGGGGTCATCGGACACATTTTGTAAACTAGATACCCCAATGATGATTGTGTTTAAGTTTGGTTAAATTTGGTCCAGTAGTTTCAGAGGAGAAGATTTTTGTAAAAGTTAACGACGACGGACGACGACAGACGACGGACGACGGACGCCATGTGATGAGAAAAGCTTACTTGGCCTTTTAAGCCAGGAGAGCTAAAAAGGGGTTAAGGGCACGTAGTTTAAACAAATAATCTGAAGATGAAATAAACCTGATAACCTTAGTTTATTTATAACAAACTTTAACTTATTAAATGGAAATTCCTAAGCTTCGGATGATATCCTTTTTTGGTGGGGTTCCTCTTGCTCAGTCTTAAGTTCTCGATGTGATGTTTTCTATACTGTTGTTTGTCTTTTAATCATTTTTCGTTTTTGTCATGAAAATTTGGTATGTTTTATTCGCATGGCGGGTAATGCGTGCATAACAGGAGACGCTTGCCCTTCGACGCACCTGGTCTCGCTCTTTTGGGAGTTCATGCGATTTTCCTCAGTTTTTTCTCTTGAACATCGGTAAACTTCTATCGCCTTAATTTGCCTCTTTTTAAAGTTTTTGTTTTATTTACAAAAGTCATTTACAAAAGAACACTACGAATCAGAGAAATTAGTTATCAAGTTACCGTACATTGATTCTCTTGACGGAGTCTTGTGTTCTTCAACAACAATTAATATGCCTTGTTATATTTATGTACCTTTTTTTAAAGTTAAAAGAATGCCGGTATTGAATTTTCATTTTTGTTGGAAATTAATTGTCATACTTAAGTTTATGATCTCTCAATCTCTCGATCACGATTTCACCTGATTTTGATAAAAGGTTCAAAACTGATTTCATATCTAACTCAACCTGTTGGCACTAATTTGTACCGGAAGGAAGTATTACACGACTTTAACATGGAGTTTTTTAAAAAGTTTTAATTTATATAATTTATATTTTTGGAGTTCAATATCAGCATATGACAGATGATGTATAGGCTATCATAATAACAAGGTACTATCTGAGGGTCTAGATGGGGTTTTCAGTATAGAGAATAATAAGGGAATTACTAAGTGCAGGATAAAGGTAAAAAAAAAAATAAGAAAAGAGAAAATGGACTAAAAAATCAAAGAATAGAGAAGGGTTCTAAAACATAAAAATAGTGGATAATGGGTAAAATATAAAAAAAAAATTTGAAGTCGGAGAAATTCACTTCTCGTAATAAAAGCAAAAAGTAAATCATGTATAGCTACTTTTTCAGCGTCTGGTCATCACTACAGAGTAGAAGCTCGCCCCTTTATCCAACCAGGAACTTAATACCGTACCAAATGAAAGTTTTATTGTAATTGTCACTGTATGTAGGGTTACATTTTGGATAATAAAAGTAACATTGCAAGTTACAGATCACAATCAAATAAACTTAAAGTATACTACTGAGGCACGGATCCAGAAATTTTTAAAAAGGGGTTCCAACACATGCAAGTCATATAAAAAGGGGGGTTCCAACCATATATATGATAGGAAAGCATATTAGTTGTCAAAAAAAAAGGGTAACACCCCTGGATCTGCCACTGTACTATTTGAAATCATGAAAGGCAAACTGTATGTCTTTAGTTCTAAAGTCTAATGAATACTGAAAGCGCCTGAATCTATATGCAACATTAAAATCATAATCAACAATGACAACCATCTTTCACACATCAAGTTAATTAGTTTGTGATCAGGTTTGATACAGATTCAATTAAATAAAAAGAATTTAATCTAATGACAACATAAATATTCCATGTCGACCCTCAACAATAAAATGTAATGTTTGCTTTCGAATTTGTTTTATTTTAAAGGTTAGTCAGTATATAAAAACCTTATATTTTTCTTTTCGAGCTTTGAATCGATAACACACAAATAACTGTTACAGTTACATATACACATTCTTCAAACGGTTTTCAAGCGATGTTAAGTACACATCGTGTATACATGGTATAGTTGTGTTGTAAATCTCTAAACCGTAAAATAAAGAGCAGCCATGTGGAAATTCTAGTCGGATGATCAGGTAAGTATTAAAATTGTTATAAACTTTCTCGTAATCAGAATTCTTTTGACTTTCTAGCATGATTAATGTGCTACATATTAATGATTTAAGGGTTTATCTATAGCAACGTCAACTCTTTGTTCGTAGAACGATAAACTTTTTATCTAAACTGATTTGTGTACCGTTTCAACTGCACAAAACACGTGCGTCTGTATTAATTTTTTGTAAGAATAGTGATAGAGCTCCACATTACAATATTTATATTCGTCGATTTACCTGTACGTCTGTTAGTCCGTCCGAAACAAACGTACGCTTTCATAATGAATAGCAACTTTAATAAGACATGGTCATTGGAAGATATAGGGATTTGGAAGAAGCGTATTGATTCTTGGGTCAAATGGTCAAAGTTCAAGGCTGTTGTTACTATTTAGCAGATAAAAAAAACTTTTCCGATTTTCTTGTGTATAGCATTCAAACTTTCATATTAAACAAATCAAATCAAATCAATTTTATGTTCATTAAACATTTACAGTATGTTTATGGCTATATTTTATCACTTAACTTTGCTGTGATCATAGGTACTTGGGAGACAGGACAATTATTTTAGCCCTCCCCCTTTGTTTTCCAAAATCCGTTATTTTTTATGCCCCCGCTGTAGCGGTGGGGGCATTAAGTTTTACCCTTGTCCGTACGTCCCAAAATTGGTTTCCGTTCTCTAACTTGAGTTTGCCTCAACCAAATGTTATGAAACTTATACACAATGCTTATTATCACAAAACACAGGTCAAGTTTGAATTTTGGTGGCGTCACTTTAACCGTTCTAGAGTTATGCCCTTTATAAATGGAAAAATTGCAAAATTTTTAGTTTCCGTTCTCTAACTTAAGTTTGCCTCAACCAAATGTTATGAAACTTATACACAATGCTTATTACCACAAAAAACAGATAAATTTTGAATTTTGGTTGGGTTACTTTAACCGTTCTAGAGTTATGCCCCTTTATAAATGGAAAATTTGCAAAATGTTTAGTTTCTGTTCTCTAACTTAAGTTTGCCTCAACCAAATGTTATGAAACTTATACACAATGCTTATTACTACAAAACACAGATCAAGTTTGAATTTTGGTGGCGTCACTTTAACTGTTCTAGAGTTATGCCCCTTTATAAATGGAAAATTTGCAAAATTTTTAGTTTCTGTTCTCTAACTTAAGTTTGCCTCAACCAAATGTTATGAATCTATACACAATGCTTATTACTACAAAACACAGATCAAGGTTGAATTTTGGTGGCGTCACTTTAACTGTTCTAGAGTTATGCCCCTTTATAAATGGAAAAATTGCAAAATTTTTATTTTCTTCTAAATATCAAGTAATTTTTAAAATTGGAATTATCTTCCTTTGTCCATGATTATAGTTGAATCAACTACAATCAATGCTTTATACAATGCAATGTTTAATTTTGACTTCCACTGATAAAAAAACACAGATCAAGTTGAATTTGGGTAGTGTCACTTTAACCATTATTGAGTTATGCCCCTTTATGAATAGAAAGATTGCAAAATGTTTAGTTTCCATTCTTTAACTTAAGTTTGCCCCAACCAAACATTATGAAACTTATACACAATATTCATTACCACAAAACTAAGATCAAGTACACATTTTTTGTTTCCGTTTTCTAACTTTAGTTTGCCTCAACCAAATGTTATGAAACTTATACACAATGCTTATTACTACATAATACAGATTATGTATGAAATTTGGTGGCGACACTTTTACCATTCTTGAGTTATGTCCGTTTATAAACATAAAAATTGCTGAATTTTTCGTTTCCGTTCCCTTACTTTAGTTTGTCTCAACCAAATGTTATAAAATTATACACAACCATTCAATAGTTGTGCGTGTTTACAAATAGACAAATTACTGAATTTTTAGTTTATGTTCACTTCTTAAGTTAGCCTCAACCAAATGTTATGAGACTTACACACAATGCATATTACCGCAAAACTCAGATCAAGTTCAAATTTGGGTAGTGTCACTTTTACCGTGGAATTGTTGTCTTTTTACCAATAAAAAAATCAAGCTTGTGGGAAAAATATCAAGAAAATGTTATAAACACTTATTAAAGTGATTACATTTTAACTTCAAAAAATACTTGTTTCAGTGATTTTAAAAAGTCTGTGTGAAAATTTTTAATATTACACAGAAAAAAATCACTCGAGGGAGTGATTCTGAAATCACTTGTTTAAGTAGTACCCCTGACTGGTAATAGCTTTTTAGAAAATATTTATTACAATTTCGACTTTTTCACCAATATTATTGGATATATCGGAACCATACATCAATGCGTAATTCGGGAAGCATAGCCTGGTTGGCTGTACCAACGTTTTCACCAATACCCCCAGGACATATGTTATGCAGAGCAGTCGTGTCTCCAATTTGACTTAACTAATTGTCTTCTTTTTTAAAGTCATATGAAACAAGTTTCTGATCATTTTAATGTGTAGGAATTTATTGTATCAATGCATGCATATATTTTAAACTCTATGCACGTTTATACATTTATTACGAATCCATAACGTATAATAACAAAAATTCATTCATTGTCGATCGAAAACTTTGACTGATAATTAACTTTTGGGTTTGAGTGCCGAAGTTTACCGATCGCAACCTTGTTATAAACATCAACACAGAATCATGGAGTACGTGTAAAAAATAAGTGAGATGACAGATCGACGTTATTGGTTGTTTTTTTTTTACATTTTCCAGACGTTCGCATTTATTAACTAAACTTTGTCATAGCTGTTGATAAATCGGAATTGGTGAATCAGTTTTTTTTTCTTTCATTAATACTGTTCCTTCCACATTTGTTTACCTTTTCTTTCATCACTGGTTTCATTTGCACTTGCAGTGTGTGGTCGCTGAATTTCTACTGAGATGGGTCATTGTTAAGATCACTGTATACGAAAAAGCTGTCTGCGAATAGGAGTACGAGAAGACAATCATTCAATAGCAGTACATTTCTGAAGATTTTGATAAAATAAATGATTTTTGTTTTTAAAAGAAAATATGTACATGTTTTTATAGTAAAATTTAGCCACTCAAGTATATATATAAAACATATTCAAGTTTAATATAAACATATTTTGAAGTATGATATCACATTTATTACATCGTGAGATCTAGCTCTCTATCAATTTATAAAGGTTAAATATTCATGATCATATGCTTTGACAACTTTTATTGTATCAACATTTATTGTAAATTCTTTATGTAAATATAACATTTTTCATTTACTAGTATATTGGTAAGCCATGTGAGTTTAATAGAAAAAAATGTATGGGGTATCCATCCATGACACAAAATAAGTATATACACAACAACAAAAATACACAAAAAGCAAAAGAATAGCGATTTTATTGATTTTCTTCATCGTAAAGTCACAGTTAGGCCTTCATCACGGAGCAAAAATCTCACATTACTGCAAATTTAAGACGGCCCCTAGCACCGGATTGAGCGGAATTTTTTGCAAACTGACGATTACGCTCCAACTGTGAATTGAAGAACAAAACCACGGAGTAATATCAATAAAATAAATCTGGCAAAGAAATCAAACATTTACTTTTAACACTTAAATCAAGAAAGATTTGGGCCAACAATTGAAGATAAATTCTAAGTACAAGATATTTTTATTAGCATACTATAGATTTTACTTTTGTCCCCCTCCGGACTCCTTAAAGAGTTGTTGCTATGATTCTTTATGTGCAGAGAGCCTGACACTCTCTATACACAAGGCATCGGATTTAACGTCCCAAATCTGACCGGACGTGGCTGCGTACTTGTACATCCCACACAGCCAAACGGACGCACTACTTTTGCAAGGGTTTTACTGCCTGTCGGAAGAACACTATATTTCTATTCCCTAATCACCCTTGGGGACAAAAGCTCGAAATACACTTTATAGTGTAATCTATGTTGAACTTCCTGCTGTACACCTCTTTACTGTACACTCATTTTTATTCATCATTTACACTGCGGCAGGGTACATTTTGCTACGTAATACCAATCTTGTATATATAAAATCAATCTACTTTATTATGGCAGTTGTTTTTCACTTGTTCCGATGATTGATAGTGCTTGGTTTTGTCAGTTTTCATGGACTTCCCATTTTTAATTTGCCTTTGAGTTCGCTATTTTTGTTATACTTTTTTATGCGTGTTTTTTCGAAATCAATTGAAATATTCCGACTCAATCAGCTCTAACGGATGAAGTTGGGGACTGTTTACTTGCATTTCAGTAGCGTTCCCGTGAAAGTAAATACTTACCTGCGATCGAATACATTAATTTTACTGAATTTAACCAAACAAATTAAAAAAAAAATAGTACATCCATGCGATAGCAATTTCATTCTCAAATTGTATTGAATTTTAAATCTATGTTTTTCTGTTCATATATAGATTTTAAATGGGAGAAGAATGCAGCGATGACACAGAATCGGTGACTGAATCAATACGTCATGGTAAGGTCAAACCTCCTGACGGCGGATGGGGTTGGGTGATTGTATTTTCTGCTTTCTTGATCAACGTGATAACTGACGGATGCTCCTATTCGTTTGGAGTATTGTTTGTATTTCTTTTGGATTATTTTCAAGAATCTAGGAGTACAACTGCATGGATCGGATCAGTATTTTGTGCTGTTCCTTTGCTATGTGGACCAATTGCCAGTGTCGTTACTAACCGACTTGGTTTTAGAAAAGCGACTATAATTGGTGGACTGATTACTGCCATAGGCTTCATATCAAGTGCCTTTGTCCATTCCGTAGGTGCTATGGCGGTGACATATGGTTGTATAGCCGGTTTAGGTATTTCGATGCCTTATTTGAACTCGATTGTTGTGGTTGCGATGTTTTTTGAAAAGAAAAGGACGCTAGCTACAGGAATTTCAGAATGTGGCGCCGGCATCGGAACGTTGATTTTCGCTCCTTTATATGAATATCTCATTATGTCATATAGTTGGCGTGGTGCTGTCCTAATTATTGGAGCTATTTCTTTAAATATTGTAGTCTGTGGTGCTGTCTTTAAACCTCTTGAAGGTACCCAAGAATATATAGATGTTCAAGATTCAGACTGTGTTGATAAAGTATTTACTGAACAACAAGATCAAGCGGATGATGATGGTTTACTTACAATTAACGGTGGTGTTTTAGTTGCAAATTCTCTTAAATCGCCAGACATTTATAAGTCAAATCCTAGTCTCGTTTTGGAATCTAATTCAGTGTTAGGGGAGTCTGTTGCCACTTCGCCGTCTATAGTCAGAGCAGCTGTTAGCTGTCATGATCTCCGTGAAACTACAAAGACTCCATGCAAACGAATGAACAAACCCCTTATTGACATTTCAATTTTTACAAATGCACGTTTTGTTATGTTTACTCTCTCCAGCATTATTCTGTATTTTTGGTATGATGTGCCTTACGTATTTACTGTAGATCGAGCTAAGAATTTTGGCATTACAGAAAAGAGAGCTGCGTATATGGTTGCCGTAATCGGAATCTCACACACTTTAGGGAACCTGCTTTATGGTTTCCTTGGTGACAGAAAGCAGATAAATCGACGATATCTATATAGTGGAAGTTTGTTATTGACAGGTGTAGTTTTAACTATAGTTCCATTATTTACAACGTTTCTTCCTTGCACAATACTTGCCGGACTATTTGGACTCTTGTCAGCTTCCGCTGAAGCACTCACTTCCGTAATAATTGTGGACATCTTAGGAATAGACAAACTTACCGATGCGTATGGAGTTGTAATGTTTCTTCAAGGAGTGTCTAATTTAGTCGGACCACCAGTAGCGGGTAAGCTTAATAAAATAACAAATGCTGCAAGCGTAGTTAATTTTTTTCACTACTGTCTACAACACACCTTTCTTTTTTTTTTCCCTTTTGATCAGATAACAAGGGAGCAATTAAAAAAGACATAACGAGTTTTGATTCATTGATTGATTGATGATAACTGTACGCCGCAGCATAACAAGTTTTGAAAACTACAACCACATGTGCACTCACTGATATAAAGATATATTTTAAATGTAATTATGTTGATCTGTTTCTCCTTCAATAATAATTTTTAAGCTAGGCGCAATGAGCTTTTTATACCTTTATTTATTTATTTCAGGATGGTTATATGACACGTCTGGTAGCTATGACCAAACATTTTATTCCGCAGGCAGCTGTATCGGTATTTCCGGTATCATTGTGCTTCTTACATCCCTCATAAAACAGAAGAAAGGACCGCGCCAAAATGATTAGATTTTTACAAGAATGCAATCAGTCAAAATGAGTAAAAATTCTTGAGAGACAAGAACCAAAGGGATTGCAGAAAACAGGAAACAACCGAGTTAAAATATTTGAATAATTCTCGATAGTACTATATATGCAAATCAAGCCGCAACATATTTTTAAGCTCAAATCCTTATCAATTTATAATATGATCAGAGTGAGAGAGCTTAATATAATGTCTCCAGTATTTCTATTTTTTATTTAATGAATTATTTTTTTAATCCTTTAAACATTACGTTGCAATTATATGACAAAGTTATGCAAATTCAGGAAATTTATTTTTTAATGTTTTAAACATTATGTTGCAATTATATGACAAATGTTATGCAAATTCAGTAAAATTTTATTTTTTCAGATGTATCAAAATTCTCAGTCTTAATCTGTTTAGCTATCAATGTCTGGCCTTTATCCTATAATATGAAATAAGATTCCGATCATGAAATACATGTAATATTATCTATAAAGATTCGTGATTTCATGCCGAATGGAAATTTCAAAAAAAATAAATAACAAAAAGTGATAAAAACCTTTAAAGAAAAACAAACAGAACACAATACACAACAAAAAGAAAATTAAAGACGGAACAACACGAACCCCACCAAAAACCTGGGGTGATATCTTATGCTCCGGAAGGTTAAGTAGATCCTGCTCCAAATGTGGCACCCGTCGTGATGCTCATCTAAGGACAGATCTGGTGATAAGTCTAATTCGGTAGGTCACATTCAAGGAAAAAAGGACGGGATTGTGGTTACGACAATTTGAACATAGCCGTCGTCATTTGTGAAACAAATATATATTCCATAACGTTCAACCAACTCGTGATGGCGTTCGTAAAGTGAATGGCTATTTGGAAACACTGTGATGCTATTACTCTTGCTACATGGAAAATATAAATCTGTTGATAACTTGATTGGCATTCAGTGGTAATTTGTAGTTATACACGATTACGTGTGACGGTATTGTGCTATACGACACTTTCACGTCTATTTTATTGTCAGGTTTATGTGACATAGATATTCTGTAACGGCGAACCAAGTAGCGATAGGGTCTGTAAAACTGTCGCAGATATAACTTCAACTAAATCATTTAGAGCACTATAAAGTTCACCTGTCAGGATTTAAAAAGGTGTTTTTTCTTTATATTGAAGAAGCTTCTGTCAAAGTTTCATATTACATTCCAGGTGAATGACTTAAAAAGTAAAATAGCAAAAATACCGAACTCCAAGGAAAATTCAAAACGGAAAGTCCTTTATTAAATATTGATGACAAAAAATTCCTAATTGCATCTTATATAACTGCTCTAAAAACTCAACTCCTTTTATCAGTAAAATATGGAATAAATGGAGATTTATTTCACTGGATTCTGTTTTTTTTTTATCATAAAATGATTCTGTTCATGTTTCGTGAAAATCCGTGAAGGTTTGACGAAGTTGTTGATGTATGGAAACTGTAGCTGCATGTGCACTGCAAAAAATCTAAGTCAATTTATCAGAAAAATATCGAAAATTATTTGCAAAATTTACACTGTGTCTAAACTACCCCGGCAAAAAATGTTTGGACTCAATAGTATCTAATATCCGGGACGGTGACGGACCATCAACAGATAGAGAAAATGTATGCTTTCTGTTTGTTTATTTGTTATTTTTAAGATATTGAAGAATAGAAATACACATAAACCTATTTTCGATTGTGAGATGTAATATTTTCTACAACCGTTCTAGATTAACGGAGAAATAAGTAAAAAGGCAAGTCAAAATGATGATTTGAGTGAACCCTGCCTCGAATTTGTTTAATATCTCGATAAATTGTGCACATTGTACGGACAGAAAGGTACGAAAAGAAAGATATTAACATGGAGATTACAAGACTAGTCACTTTGAGCACCTCAAAAGTTGTACTTCTGTGCATGGAACGAAAGAAATGGGTCATGTCAAAATTAAAGGAACCGGTTTTGTCTATGTGTACGACCCGGTTTCGTCTTAAAAATTTCCCAAAGCAGGACCACGTTTTTCATAGAAAATAACGCATAATCGAATTACTAAATTAAAATCCGTCGTTCAATAGGAGTTTGATGGACTGTTGGAAAACAGTTTTTGCAGAGGACAGCTTATCATTTATTTGAATCCGCAAACGCTTGAATTCCTGCTTTATCGGAAACTTTTTTTTTTAATTTTGCTTTGTATATAAAAACGAATACTTTCACGGCGAAATACAAAGAAAAGAAGGTTGTAACGCAATTTGAGGTTTAAGCTCTCTATTGGGTTTTTTGTTTTTTTTTTTTTTAATTTGAAAAAAAAATGTTATGAACACTAAATGTTTATCATAAAGCAAGAGAATAAGACAAATGTAGATGCATGAATTTTCATGCAGCGCAATGGATCACAATATCATGCATTACAAATCTGTCTACTCTTCCCTCTAACTATTATACTTAGTATAAATTAGTAAAATAGTATCAGGTCATTCAGAAAATGCAATACTGATTATTTCATTAATAATTTTATAAATAAACGGTTCTATATCTCTCCATAATGTTATCATTATCGTACTTTGCTTTATATTAAAGGGATATTGGTCAAGTTTAAAATTGTCAATATAACAAGGGCGGATCAAGGACGATTTTATGCTGAAAAAATTATTTATAAATCGTAAAAAACATGATTTAAAAATCTTTTTTTGTCAATAATGGGGACGTTCGCACTCTACGCCCCCTGGATCCTCCACTAATAAATGATATAAAATATAACTATATCGTATACCATCTTAAAGTTTTATAAGAATCGAGAAAACAGAGACATCCGCCAAATTGGATGTATGTAAATTGGATTATCATGTTTATTTTCAAAATTCACATTGGTATTTTAGTGTTGTCGGAATGCGAGACCAAGGGATGCAAATTCGTGGCGGGCTGGAATATATGTATAAAATAGCAAATAAACCCAGACTAATAATTGGTGTTGTTTATAGCAGTTGTAACAGCAGATGAGCTTTCATGAATAAGCTCATGAAATTACGTAATATTATAACCAAGTTGAGTTTATGACCCTCACCTGAGTAAACTATCGTAAACATGGCGTACAGTATAGAAAAACACACTAGCTTTACTCTTTTGATAAATTGATATGGTGACACAATCATACCACATCTTCTTATTTTTAAATCATTTCGTGTTAAGGTATAGTAAACAAACATACATTCATAATAAACTACAAAAGATTTAATGTAAATGCATACTATAAATAAGATAAATGCGTAAGGTATACGTATAACATTAAAAAAAAACGTGTACTCTCTATTCCGAAAAGTTCCCGTGTAAAATAAATGTTAACACGAAGATGTGTTTTATAATAGCATATATATTGAATTCTTTTAAAGGAGAATGTTCATATCCGTGTTAAGGTTGCTTTTCATAATTTGTGGTTTTCAAACGCAACAAAACCGGGTCCTATACAAAGACAAAACCGAGTCCTTGTAAAGTAAACAACATTGACAAAACCGGGTCCTTCCATTTTGACATGACCTATTTCTTTCGTTCCATGCACAGAAGTACAACTTTTGAGGTGCTCAAAGTGACTAGTCTTGTAATCTCCATGTTAATATCTTTCTTTTCGTACCTTTCTGTCCGTACAATGTGCACAATTTATCGAGATATTAAACAAATTCGAGGCAGGGTTCACTCAAATCATCATTTTGACTTGCCTTTTTACTTATTTCTCCGTTAATCTAGAACGGTTGTAGAAAATATTACATCTCACAATCGAAAACAGTTATATGTGTATTTCTATTCTACAATATCATAAAAATAACAAATAAATAAACAGAAATCATACATTTTCTCTATCTGTTGATGGTCCGTCACCGTTCCGGATATTAGATACTATAGAGTCCAAAAATTTTTTGCCGGGGTAGTTTAGACACAGTGTTTTAGCTCTGGATACTTTATTTTGATCATAAAAAAGTTTCTGTACAAACTTCAGACAATTTCAAGAAGATTACAAATTTATTTATGTTTAAAAAAACTTTAAACTACAGACTGAATCTAAATGTTGCCGCCGCCGACGACGACGACCGAATGTAGGATCGCTCTGTCTCTCTTCCTCGACAAAATGTCGCAAGATTAGAAAAATAGTTTGTACTCAATAATTTAATTTGATAAATTTTTCAGCAGGGTTATGTTCCATTATCAACTTACGTTCATTTTTCAACAGAAATTAGTTTCTATCAACACCGAAATTCAAAGAACAAAATGACGACAGTTCGGAAACAGGAATAAGAGAGCTCGGCTGGAAAAGTGGAAGTTTAGAAAGGAGTGTAGCACCGCCTGCTTACACAATCAAGAGAAATAACTTCCGATTGTATTTCTATTTTTGATGTGATAAATTTCCCACATATTTCCAGCCAAAATGTCCGACACACAAAATGACAAATTATTGGACAACTACTATATGCTTTGAACAAAAACAAATGCATCACGATTCACGAATGAATTGAAATACAACAGAAATAATAGTTCTACTTATCGTTTCAAATGATATTGAATTAAATCATGGCCCTGTTAACTGTCCAATATCAGGAAATAATTCTACACTATGCGTAAAACCTATCACATGGGACGACAGAGAATTGTTCGTGACGATACAGTTATTTCGTGGTAATGTATTATGTGTGAATGTCCAAACTACTCATTATTCTGTAACTCACTAGTCATCAACACTTCCAATCACTTCAGCATTTTACCAGACACATTTCCCGACAGGCCAACTCTGAAACGCGAAATCGCAGACTGTTCACACATTTACTCTAGATAACACAAGAAAATACAAGCCTAAGACAAAACCCCTAAAATACTACGCATGGTAAATGTAAATTCTATGCAATCCATTTAACAATGCAAGGTCAACTTTACAATATGCTTGATAGTACGAAACCAGGCATCATATTTGGGATAGAGACAATGATTATAGCAATTAAGGCAACAGGTACGTAAATCGGCAATCTCGTGGATTTTTATGAAATTTTGCAAGCAAGTTTGAGCATGTGGAAAATCAAATGCATATGAATATCGAAAAAAATATACAAGGAACTTTTATACTTACGGATATATAGCAAATTGAATATTTTGTCAAAAGAATTTAAAAAGAAAGTCTATGTATAAAATGTGGTATGATTACCAATGAGACAACTCTTCACAAAAGATCAAAATGACACAGAATATGTACACGGTTTTTTAAATTGATATTAAAGAGGCACTATCAATTGAATAATTCGACCTCATTGGATCCGTATTTATGTGACCTTCAATTGAACCCCCTCAGCTAGAAAAAGTTAACGCATCAACTAGGCATGTTCAGCTAT